ATAGACAATTTGCTTCTCATTAACAGGGAAAATACATTATTTTCCTTATAAACTCAAGTTCCAAGTACTTAATATGTAGCAAATTCTTAAGTATTGGGTTAACATAAACAAATGCAGTTTAGTTATCTTCTTGTATATCCTATTTTTATGGTTAAAAAGGTAAAAAGAAATAAAATACCAAAAACAGCAGAAGAAAAAGTATAGATATAAGATTTGGGAGTGGGAAAGACTTTCCAAACACAATAGTAAAGGAATAATTCATAAAAAGTCTTTCTACAGGAAAGCAAACAGAACATATCAAAGACTTTTACGTTTTCATACTCAATGACTCGGCAATTACGCTTCCAGTATATATTCGAAGAATGTAACCCAGGACACACTTCTATCTACAGAGATTTTTATCACATACAACTAACAAACAGCAGAACAATGAAAGAGACCCCGATCCTAAATGTCAAATGATGAAAATTATGATTGGGGCAAGTGGCTATGATGTAGTAGTTACGGTTAAGGTCTCAAATCAGATTGTTTGATATCCTACTCCTTCTTTCATAACTTCACTTCTGCAAGTTTGACAAGAGCAGAGCTTCCTCATCTGTGATCTTGAGAATTAACTTTATAAACACTGTAGGATCACTGAACAGAACACTGATATCTCACTCTTTCATTACTAAAATATACAATGCAGCCATTAAAATCCACAATCTATTTAATAATGCCAATGGAGAAACAAGAGATACTATACGTACAGCAGGAAAAAAAAATACTCAAAGTGTATTCTTCAAAATGTCACTAATAATCCTGAGTGGAAGAATTATGCATAATCGCATTTTATTTTTATCTGGTTTTAAATTTCTAAATTATTTTATAATAAACATGTATTACTTTTAATGAGAAAATTATAATGGATTTTTTAGTTAAGATATTGCTTAGACGTTTCTTCAAATCTACTGCATACAGTTACCTGAATAACATAAGCTTGTTCCTTTACCTTATGTTCCCTATATTCCTGTCATAATATCAATTTGCTATATTATTAGAATATCTGTAGGCTGTACAAATGTACCCTGCATACTTCTTAATAAACTCAAAGTCTGTAGAACTGACAAAGATTAACAAGTGCATCAGCTATTTCTGGAAAAACTTGGGTCTGGTCCCAAGTTTTAAGTCCCAAAATTTAAGAAAATTCCAACTTTCTATTCCTGTTCTTAGAAAACCTGGATAGACTCTAATAAGATTTAGTGGCTGTCACCATTACTTTACTGCCTGAAATGTTTTGAGTTGAACAAACATGCACAGAATAATTCAGAACTCTAATAGTAAGACTTCAAGTTGAGTGGTAGCCTGTGGTTGACTCCTCTTAGGGAAGTCGCCACCATCACTTTCCCATTGAATTAGCTAACAAGGGATGTGCTGAACTTACAGTAAAGCTCAGACTGGGCAGCAGCATAACAACAGAGATGCTGGCCATGAAATTAGCACAAGATGGGCTGAGCGAGTGAGTGAGCGAGCACCGTGTGAGACCAGTGACTGCTCTGCACGCTCGGTGTGTACAGCTGCATGATTTTAAGAAAGGTGCCCCTCAGTCAAGTCAATCCATTCTCATTTTACCTTCAGGTCTGAAAGCTTAGATTTTATAAACTCTAACATTTATACCTTGATCTCACGATTTTTTTCATTGCAGATGCAGATTAACAAAAGGATTTTTTTTCCTTGAAAATGTTGATAGATTAACAAAGTAATTCTCTAGCCCTTTTTTTTTAAAAAGTATTTTCCTATATTTTGTTTATTTTCCAAGTGCTGGAAATATGTACACTTTAAAGGAAATGTCACTAGCTATCAGAATTTTTACAGAATTTATACACTTTTCTAAGGAAGACATATTTACATGGTAAAAATAATATGTACTAGTAATTTATGTACAACCAAAAGGGTCTAAGATATATTTCTAACAGATGGTCACTATAGAAGCTCCAGAGAAAAATCAATTATGAAATAAGTTTCACTTAAGTGAAGGAATTTAAAAGAGGGGCTTGGGCAGGCCATTTGTGTGATCAAGTAATCATTTTATTTTGTCTGGAAATTCTTTAGACAAACTCACTTATTTCTTGTTTGCCTCCTCCAAGCTTCTGTTGATAAGTAAGTAATAAAGGAGACTTTAAATATTAGGGAGAAAAACCAAATCTGGCTATCTAATGCTGATTCTATTTCTATTCTTATCTCAGGTGTACATTAAATGCATTTTTTCAATGCCATCTTAGAGAAAGAAGCAAAAATAATTGAATACTTTTATGTGCTTTGGACACAGCTGGACTGGAGGCATTTTATAATCAGCATGTGGCCACAAGAACTCTTTTTTTGTGGGGGGGAGGAATGCTAAGTATAAAAGGTCATTGTGCATATCAGCAAGAGTGAGAAGAAAACTCCAAAGAGTTTCAGCTTACCCAGCTCCAAGACTCAAGTGAAATACCACAATCATGCCAGTCATTAGTTACCACTCAGTCTCTGTCTCCAGTCCGGAAACCAGTCTGCCAGAACCCAGATAGCTGGAAAAGCAGCCATGCTTTATCAAACAACTGATCCCAAGAGGCCAGTGGAAAGGAAAATCATATGTGTTCTTCATTAAGAAGGAAAAATGTCCCTAATTTTACAAAGCTCTCTTTTCCCTTAGATAATAAAGAACATATACTTTGCAATAATTTTTTTTAAAATAAGATGAACTTTATGTGTTGGCAGGGCACATGAGCCTATTGACTAAATGCAACATAAAATTGAGTTTATTCATTTTGTATTTATGTAGATACAATATTTCTTAAGAAAATTTATGAATTCTAGTTTTATTAGGATTAGGTATTACACATTTTAGAAATTTAACTAAAACTGTCTGTCTTAAAAATACTGAAGTTCATGCTTGCAATCAAAGAGTAAAAATGACTGCTTCTTTGAAATTTCAGAACTTCCATATGAAGGGCAATAATTAAAAGGCTTCAGAAACTCACATTTAAAAAAATATTTTTAAAATCAATTCATTGACTAAGTAATTTTATAATTTCTTCAGAAAGCATGCTACTGTGCTTGTGAAATATATGTAAGTCTTTATTGGATTCTTAAAATTTAGTAAGGACTAACATATCTAGTGAATGAATAGCTGCTGAAGAGTAATGATGTAATGCCTGGAAGACTGAGTCGAAACTCCCCACCCTATTTCTTTGCCAGTTAGGAACTGGAGAGGAAATCTATTCCAGGATGAAAGACTTGCAAAGTTTACATGACTTCCAGAAAAATGAGCATCATCTCCACCAGTTTTGATATGTTTGAATTTTTAATTTAAGTACCTTCCATTCTACAGTGTTTAAGTAAACTCAGCATCAACTAGGAAATTTTTGTTATTCCATTCTGAACAATTTATCTTTTTATGCTAACATTTCATAATTAATTTTTCTTTCCCAAATAAAAGCATCTGGTAAAGACTTTAAAATTCATCTTAAGAATAACTATATAAACTCTGTCATTGGAGGAATGCAGTTCAGTCCCAAGAAATCTCAATTACATTGGGAACAGCATAAATATCTTGATATGTATACACATACAAGAGTATGTCAAAAGGCTTCGTACATCTTACTTTTCCAACTTTACTATATAATTTCAATTTCTCAATTTCTTCTCAAGATTTAATATGAATACCAAGATAAAGTTTTTTTCTGGATAATGAGGACAATTTTTGAAATGTAAGATTTCTTTAGAATTCAAAGTCTCTCTCTTATATATAAGCCATTATCAAAAATTTACCCATAATAGTTCATCAACATAACTCTGTACACTCTAGTTTCATGGTAAAGTTAAAGCTATATAACTTCAGGTGCTATGGTAAGCCCTGGGAAAATTAATTTGAGGATGTATGTAATAATGTTATTATGTAACATTGTACATAGTATCTTTGTTTAAGCTTATTTTTACTCATATGCTAAATACTTACTGTATTTTCCAAAATTTAACTTCTTTGATATGCCGTGGTGACCCTTGCCATCAGGACATAATTACTAGGTCTCTTAGTGCATTAATGCTGGAAATTTTCAGCAGCCTTGGTCACAAGTTTAATTACCATTCAAATCATGACAAGCTGCTTTTATATTGTTTACTGAATATCTACAAAGTAGACAATTCAGGATGCTTACCTAGGGCATCCACTCTTCTCTCCCTTTTCCTGCCCAAATGAAGTTCTGCTGGGTTCAAATACCCAACCATCCTTTCCATATGGCTTTGGGAAAGCTTACATCATCTTCTGCCACAAGATGGTTCCTGTTAAGTCTACATCAAACATACTAACAACTTTCTTTTCATGGACTATTTTTAAAACCTAAGATTAAGCCAATATGCTTGAAGTATCTCTGGAGACAATGACTGGCCCACAGTTAGAAGGAGGCATTCTCTCTGTGAATATGAACTGTTAGTAACTGCTGACAGACATTTTATAAGCCACAAAAACTCCAGGATTGGGCAAAACCAAACAAAAAGGAGGAGAGTGCCAAGAGAAATGAAGTAATAGAGTAAAAGCCGTGATCACATCCTACCTGAAGCCCCGTAGCTCTGGACTTTTTGGTATGAAATGTAATGTTTCCCTATTGCTTAGAGAAATTTATATCAGATTTTGTGGGGGTTTTTTCAGTCAAGGACATTCTGACACAATTATTTAACAGACGTGATATTCCCAATAGTGACTCTAATATGAAAAGCGCACTTTTAGAATTCACCACGGTCACTCACTTAAAATCACCCTAGAGCTACTGCCACTTAGCTTGCCTTCCAAACTGAGGTCACCACAGTGGAAAACCCTGAGAACGCTTCTGCTATTAGTTATGTCCTACACTCTTACCATTCAAATTCTTGACATAATCAAAAAGTAAAAATAGCATTTCATTAGGAGAATTTTCATTGAATAACAAAAAAGTAATACTTTTTAAAATAGAGTCCTTCCATGTAAGTTTCTCACTTCTCGTTACCTCTTTCGCATTGTGGACCAGTGAATCCATAAACACAAGCACAGCGGTTGGGTCCGATACAACGCCCACCATTCTGACATCCATTTTCACAGACAGCTGCACACAAAACACAAAAAAGCAGCATTAGCAGTAAATCTCCAAGCACAATAGAGTTGTGTAGTGATACTGCCAATAAAGGATCTTTCATTAAATCACATCTCTAAAATGCAAGTTACGATTCACATCGTGCACGGAAGTAAATACATTTAATTATATGTTAAGACGAAAGTCAACACAATTCATGTAAATCAGATTGCTGGCATTTGGAACACTTTCGGCTTGTTTGGTTTTGTTTTTGTTCATGTTCTTTCGATCAAACTCACAAAGACTGGCTGGCTCTGATGTTCAGAGTAAGAATATCACTATTTAATCTTCTATTTTTATTCCACCAGCCCTATGATCTATCTTCTCATAGGTAAAGAAGTCAATAAAATGTGGGAAAAGAAAGGAAAAAGGAGTCAGCCTCTAGGTAGCAGCATGAGAAAAAAGGAGGGGAAAATGTGATTCAGAAAAACAAAGAAGATACCACAATAAAGAGAAAAAGCAAAAATCAGAAAAGGGAGCCTGGGACAGAGCAGTGGGTTAGAACTAAAGCAGGAAAGGTAAAACTAACATGAAAAGCAGGGGAAAATACAATCTACTTTGGCTATAAAATGTCAAGAGAAGTAACAAATATGTAATCATGGAAGAAAAGAAAGGGAAAAACACTGTATCAACACACTAAGTTTTCTCACATAAAATGAATCAACAGTCCAAATTATTTCAAATACAGTGGTCCCTTGGTTTCTATGGGGCTTGGTTCCAGTACCACTGAAGATACCAAAATTTGTGGATGCTCAAGCCCCTTATATAAAATGTTGTAGTATTTCCATATGATCTACACACATCCTCAAGAGATTATTTATAATGCCTACTACAATGCATATGCTATGTAAATAGCTTTATATTGTATTGTTCAGAGAATAATGATAACCAAAAGAAGTCTGTACATATCCACTACAGGCACAATTTTTTTCAAGTATTTTTAATTGTAATGATACGCTCACAGAGCACATTCTCTTTCACTCCTTTATACTTGTGACCTGGGAGACTAGGATTCGGGATTGGAGTTCAGGAGAAACCCAAGAGGCAGAACTGAATCTCAGTCACTCCCTCATTCCTATGGCACCTCTCCAGAATAGCTCAGCTGAGCAACCAAGACACAGGACACAGGAGTCTCCTAAATGATCACAGCCTGGAATCTTTGAAAGGATCTGTCTCCAGATCCGTCCTGAGGACAGCTGAATTCAAGAATCATGTTTTCTTTGGAAGAAATTACTGGTACAAGAATTTGTCTTCCATCCCACCCATCCTGTTGAATGGAAATACTCATCCTCACAGATGAATGAAAGGATTATGTCCTATGACTTGTACCCAAAAAACGAGCTTAAAAACACTAATTATTTTAAATGGTAACGAGGGGCAAAATTTCATTTATGTGCACTTCAATGTGGCACATAGCAAAAATGAGAAGCTCAATAAATAGACTGATATTTTAAAATGCAATCGTGCTGTTTCTTCTCGATCAAAACAATTGAACTAGGTTACTCATCATCACCCAGAGCGCAGAGTGAATTCTGTACTGCTGACAGTAGCAAGCCAACATGCATTTGAAAGCAAGAGGTTTCTTCATCTGAGAGCATCACTGTGCCAGTGATCACTTTGATCACTTTGATCAAAGTCCTGAGACTGTATGCCTCTGCAAGGTCCATCTCCCTAAGAACCACACCTTCTGCTTCTTCACCTGCCCTATGCTGAGTTCTCTCTGGCACTTCTGATTCATCATCATCTTGTAATGTGGGGTAGGCAGAAAATCAGATGAGTAAATGTAAAGGATAAGGAAAAGGGAATAAACGCCATGAAGTGTGAGAAAGATGAGAGTGGACAGGAATGCTGGAAAGAGTGAGTAATTCTACAGAAACAATTGCCAGGACTTGAATGTTGCAAGTGTTCAAGAGATATACTATAAAAGGGTAACTAACTGCATATGATTAATAAAAATGTGAAGAATTTTCTTTAACATTTCCTGCAATGCAATAATTTTAATGAAAGTCACTTTCCCAGATGTATTCTCTAAGCACTAAACTGGTCCTTTAAAAAAACACAAATGGGGGAACACAGTCCACCACTGACTGGGACTCTCACGTGGGTAAGCAGAAGACGGGATGCCTTCTCTAAGGACTCTCCAAAACAGATTTTAAACTGAAGGGGACTGGGCTGGTAAACCGTGGGCTTCTCTCAGAAAGATCTGGCCCTGACCCATGACAGGTTAAACCCAATCTAACCCCTCTGGGTTAGACTAACAATAACTCCTTTCTCAACAAATTTGTTTTAGAGTGTGGAGAATGTAGTTAGTATTCACAAAAAATATTTATCTTAACAGGTGACATGGGTTTATTGTAATTTTAAATGAATTAATAAATACAAACTTTTGAAGATTCCTCATTTTCAATTTCTAATACTGTAAATATTAAGGATCTTGTGAACAGAAAGGTTGAGACCCACTGATACAGCCACTTGCTTATATTCCTGTTGATCATGTGAGACAAACAGTTCTTTTGCCTTTGAATCCCCATCACTATTCAATATAATACAGAAACTAAATGAAATCTGGCACCATTGTCAAAATTCCATTGCACTTTTTCCACCACTTTGCAGGGCAGACAGAGACAGTGATCAGATAATGAATTATGCTCTGATATTCCCAGCTCTCTCCCAATACAACACCCCTCTGATTCTCAGCATCCCACTTTGTAAAACAGATATAATCATTCCTAGCCCACTGTAGTGTGACGATTAAATAAAACTGTAAGCTGGGAACACCAACTCACAACCGCAGTCCTAGCTAGCTGGGACAGACATCAAGAGAATCGCAGCTTGAGGCCAGCCAAGGAAAAACATTTGCCAGACCCCTATCTCAATCAAAAAAAGCTGGGCATGATGGTATACACCTATCATTCCTGCTGGGCAGGATCACAGTCCAGGCCAGCCCAGTCATACATGTGAGTGCCTATCTCAAAAATAAACGAAAAGGCATGACTCCGGTGGCAGAGTGCCTGCGTGGCAAGTGCAAGGTCTTGAGTTCAACCCCAAGTACTGCCAAATAAATGAATAATAAAATAAACAAATAGTGAGTAAAATAAAACTGTATAAAAAACAAAAGGCACAGGGGCTGTACATTTTAGCTTTCCTGTATTCTTAATTGCCTACTTTTTTTTTTTTACTACAGAACATTTGTATGGAAAAGACGACTTGTTCTGCATCATCCGACCATTACACTAAAGAGACAGTGAAGGAAGTAAAGCAGGAAATACAGAAGGAAGGAGAAACAAAAAAGACATGAATTTCCTTCTTTTGCATGAGTTATGATTAAAGGTATTTTGTAAAATAATATTTCTACAATAAAACTTCACAGAAATAGTAATTTCCACTGGAGTTAGAAAGAAATTTGAATATGCCTACATTTCTACTGTGGAAGGAATGCTGACCACCCAGGAAGAAGAAAATGCTTATGCACAGTATGGGAGTGATACAAAAGGCAGGGAGGGAGGACATACTAAAGATGGAAGTATGAGCTGCTTTCTTCGCTGCCACCACAGTCTGGGGCCAGGAGAAGGCTGCTGTTTGACATCAGCCAGCCTGTGGAACAGAACGCTGGTCACGTACTGGAGCAGCTGGATATTTAAAGAACACTGTTATCAGCAGACACTTATCCAGCACCTACTCTGTGCTAGTAAAATGACAGGTACACATTTTTATAAGATGGATTCTTCTGTATGACTCCACAGAGTACAAACACTTGGGTAAGAGTCAAGTGCAAAATTATGATTGTGACATTTACACAAACACATCAGATAAAAACAGCATTTTAAACCAGTGGACAGAGACAAAAATGTACTACTCTGACACAGGACAAGATAAATCTTTATTATTAGTGCTGCCTTCTTTTTTTTTTCCAGTCCCTCACACTTTTCCAGTTTCTTCCTGTTGTCTACTGTTTCTCACTCCTCTTTGCTGGCTTCTTTTCTTCTTCCCATCTCAAAATGTTGAGCTAAACCACTGTTCTTTCCACTGTCCACAACTTCCTATTGATCCTCAGCTAGGCTTATGATTAATATTATCTATATAAAAATTCAATCTACATGCTCCCAACCAAATTTATGTGTCTCTTTGTGCCCTCTATCCTAAGGTATTTCCACGTGGAAATCTAACAGACTTCTATAAAACTAACAAATACAAAACAAAATTCTTATTCACTCCTACCCACCAGACCCTACCCACTCTCTATTCAGCTGTTCCCATATAATGAAATGACATTACCCTTCAGCCAGGCTCCACCAAAACCCTCTAGTTGTCATTTGTGGTCTTTTTAACTTTTTTTACCCTTCACACCTGGTCAGCAGTACACACTGCCTTCCATCAACTCTACTCTCAAACACATGCTTTGTCTACCCACTTACCAGATCTTCAATAACCACAGCTACAGGGCAGTTCCCCAGCATCACTGCAGTAGCCTTCTCACTGGCCTTTTTGTTTTGCTCTACCGCTCCCCACAATCCAGTCTCAATACAGCAGCCAGAGTGACTTTTTAATAATGTTAATTAAGTCACATCACATAACTATCAGAACGACTTCCAATCACATTTAGGGTATATCCAAAACCCTTTCCTTGGCTACACCTTCCTCTCCAAACTCATTTCCTTCCATTGTCCCTTGTTCCCACTTCACATTAGCTACATGGAGTCTGTTCTCTACAGGTTCCTTGAATTTGCTTTTCCTTCTGCCTAGAACTTTTCCTGTGCCCAGAAGCACAAATACAGGTCCGTGTGCAAATAAATGCCACCTTCTCAGAGATCTCCAGTGTCAAATAGCAGAGAACTGTTAATCCTGACTCAGGATTTCTCTCCCTCACCCCGCTTTCTTATCTGGACCTTCTCATTATCAAATTTTGCATTAGGTGTTCATCCACTCATTTATTTGTCAACTATCTTCTATACTGAGATGTAACCTCTGTGCGGCCAGGCACCATTACGCTTATTCACAAATGTACTCCCAGCATCTCGCATACAGCAAGGCACACAATAATTGCTCAACATTACTGAATGAAAGGAAAGAATGCTTTCTGGAGTGCTGTCTACATTTCTGGAAAGCAGCTAAACTGTTCAAATGTTTTATAACCCTCGTTTTAGCAAATATTTTATTTCCAGGACTTTTCTAGATTTACGAGCTGAAAACTGTCTTCTCCTTCACTCTCAACACTGTAACACCCTTTCTATATAAGACAACTTAGAAAAAAAGTGTTTTCCTTAAGTCATTTCTTAAGTGGCTGTCTGTAAGTTATCATGCCTTCACGTTATTTGCTCACTAATAAATCATGTTAGTTACGTGTTTCACTTTTACCATGTGCTCTGTTGGCCCTGAGATAGAGAACAGACAAGAGGACCTCACCCCATGGGACATTCAAAGAACAAAGGTTCAGGTGTTTGTTGTTTTCTGATCCAGTGCCTTTCATAATCCCCTGAAAGCATCTATAAAGTGTGACCTGGGGCAGAGATCATCAAAGGACTCATCAAAAAGGGAAAGTACTTCCCATCTCTTAGCTTCCTGTTTCTGTGTGAGAAGCAAAAATAAGGTGTACACCTAGAGTTTGTTCTGAACAACCTTCAGGAAAATATGAATATATCCAAGGGTGTCCAAGATAAGTACAACAGCTGAGTTCAGGCTCAAAATGGCTAGCTCCAAGACAGATTTGAGAGCTACTCTGAAAGACTGGTTAGGGCCATGCTCTTCTCCCTGGTGATTCTCCTATGGTTAATTTTGAAATACTTTTAAAAATTGTTTAGATGGGGGCAGGTAAGGAAAAAGCTCTAGAGAGTTTTCCAGGAAACATCACCACTTTTCAGGAAAGTGTGTATGTTTTATGAAGATGGATAAAAGAAAACAAGGAAATACTTGTAATATGTGTTATACTTGATGAAGCACTAGTGGTACTCAACAACATCTACAACCTAAAGCACGTCAATTCTAAAAGAAATGGAAAAACTCTCCTAAGCTAAAACTTAGAAAGCCAGATATAAAATATGCTTACTACAAAAACTATTTCTTCAAAGGAACATAAGTTTTACAAGACCTTAAATTTTGACTAAATATAAAGTACCAACTAAATAAAATTATTTGTGGTAAAGTCAATTCTAAAGTTCCTTACGTTGGCCACAATAAGTTCCAATATATCCCTTCTGGCACTGGCAGTGGTCATCTGTACAGGTCCCACCATTCATGCATCTCACACTGCACTGCTGAACTATAAAAAAACAACACAAAAAATATACAAACCTTAGTCACCAAAATTACAGTGTATGTGAGATTATAGAAATTATAATCTACATGTCTAATCTGATGACAAATATGTTCTACAGATGTAAATGGTATGATCCAACACATATTTATCCACTATTTGCCATAGGTGTGCACCCAGGCATACTGTGGTATACATGTTACTCAGTACACAGTTAAACTTATTACACTTTCAGTGCTAAATAAAGTCACTATAGGGAGCATACTTTGTAGAATGCAGGAGGCATGTCTTGCATTTGGGGTCAGTCCTCACAGAACCTGCACTCCAGTAAGGAGACAGATGAAACCCAAGTTAAAAATACTGCCAAGTAATTGCAGGTTGTGATAAACTGTCTGAGGAAAACTATTATGGAGAACAATGCCTAGAGTGGAGGAGGAGTGGAGGAGGAACTTAGACACAGGAACCACACAAGACTGTCTGTTATGACATGTGCACTGAACTCTGAAGGATGAGACTCAACCAGGCATGGGAAGTACCAGGGAGAAACTTCAGGGGAGAAGAACCAGCAAATCAAAAGACCTCAGGATGGAAAAGGTTTTCTTCTGAAGAACTGGAGATACATGTGGTTAAAAAGAGGCTGATGGGGAAGAGATCTTGTAGTGCCGAGCAGAGGCCAGCAGGAAAATACAAGGTCTCCTCAGTCACAGAAGCGTTTTCATGATATCCCACATACAAATGGGAGTAATTGAAAAGATTTTGCAATGAGAGAGGTAAGTAACATGATTTATATTTATCTAGCCGTTATGCAGAGAATAGATTTGAAGAGGCCAGGCAGGTGGGAGTCTAGATGGGAGTCTAGGTGGGAGATGAGGACAGCTTGAACCACACACAAGGTAGCAATGGAGGTGGTAAGGAAAAGACGGAGCTGAGATATATTTGCTAGTAGAACCTACAGTACATACTGAAAGAGTTGTGTGGAGAAAAAAAAGAAGTAGTTGCTGAAGCATTTGATGAGGGCTGCGGCCATGTGCTGAGGCAGGAAGAGCTGTGGAAGTAGGCTGTGGTCAGTAATTAATCAAGACTTTCAAGAAGGAAGTGATAAATACTGCTAAAAGCTTCAGCAAAGTCAAGTGGGATGAACACTGGAAGGGTTAGAAAGGTTCCTGATGGAAAGGAATTGAATATTGTCAAAGGTCAAATGAATGCATGGATTCCCTACTAAAGTATATGCCATAAACTAAGAGTGGACCAGTGAATGGTCACTACCCAGGTAGAAAAAGTTAAGAAGGTGAATTTCAAAACTTCTCTGGTATTGTGACTTTTTGCCAATGGCAGATTGGTTTTCTTGAGATAACCAAGAATTGAGGAATGAAGATATGAGCAAGGGTATGTTGCAGGCAACTGAACAAGGAGGAATTGGTTCAGTGAAGTACAGGAGGAAATAAATGTGCTGGTCAGGGTGGTCAAAAAAGTCTTCCTGCATTTGCATGATAGGTTTCAAAAAGCTGGGAAAATGCAGACAGTATTCAAAGAACGTGAAACCAGAGCTTTCATCAGAAATTTCATCAGAAGACAATGACATTTGTTGTATGAACCTTAAACCTTATTCCTGAGTCAGACCAACTCTATATTACCTTTGTTTAATGAAAATTTGTAGACAGAACTATTAAAATATAACAACTTCCCATTTGTTTGAGGCAGATTTAAAGCATTTACTTAATTAATGAACAATTAAATAAACAGTATTTGCTTCTGTTTTGTTCTAATGTTACCTTAAAAACTTGCCTTAAAGATTAATCTTCATAGACCCAACATTTTCTAAGTAGGTCATGAAAAACACAATCTTAGCCCAATTTTGCAGTTATCTTAGCAAGCTGTTGTGAGTTAATGTATAAAGCAAAAATAATTAATTATGTATACATTAATATATTAATGGTACGCAATAAGAATCTGTTTTCTTCTAAATTCTCTTCTCCTTCCCCCACAGTTAACCCACAAAATAGGATATGGTCTGCAACAGCTAAACAAAGACAAGAAATACAGTCTAGAGTTTGAGACCACAGGCTTAGGCATCAGAATATATAGATTAAATTCTATGTTATTTTGAGTAGGTAACTTAACTTATGTTTGTCTCATTTTCCTACTGTCAAAACAGAATCAAAACAGTATCTCTTAATATTGATATAAGCATTGAATAATTAATACAGTCAAACACCTAGAGCAGTATCTGGCACATAATAAAAACGCAGTAAATTACAGCCATTACTCAATATGGCTTCTCTACTGCACTGCATAGATACACAGCTCCTGGACAAGAATTAAAGCATTTTTCTTACTGAAAACTATTACCCATTTGAGGCAACCACCAACCCACCAAAGGTCTTTATTTCAAAAATTAATACAGAGTTTGTGGGGAAAATAATCACCAATTTGTATCTCCTTTAAAGAGGACATTTAGCATTTACACAAAAACTTAAAGAAAACATAGTCAATAAGGTCACATATAAGAAACATACTTGATTTTGCTCCACAGGTTGGTGATATCTGGCCACTGGAACAAGTACACATATTAGGGCGGGAACAAAATCCATCTCCACAGCTATTTCTACAAATTGCTGTAAAAAGCATAGTAAGAGAGTGAATGAATAACATCATAACAAACTACATTTTGCAAATAAGAGCTATGTATGGCTGAAAAACTAAGATATAAAACATGTAATGTAAAATGACTGACTTTAGATATCTAACAAAATTACCTATTGTAGACATGAGAATGAAGTTTTACAAGTATCCTTATGATAATGTGCAAACAAATGAAGCTACTTCAATTTCCATTGATACTAACTCTTCAACTTGCCTATCAATACAAGCCACTATTTTAAGTCCAGAATTTTAAATGCAGAATTCACCAAGAGAAGCAGCCTTGGTTCTAGGGAACTGGGAGTGCTGAGGAAACCTGAAGATACAGTACACCCTTAGAAAACACAGTCCAATGTATAAAGGACCTTCACAGAAAACAAATGTGAAAGTGGCTGAGCCAGAGACTCCAGAACCAATGACTTGATCAAACCTCAGGGGTTTCATGCACATTCCTTCCTGGCTGGTATCTGACCTGCTCCATCATTAATCTTTGTTCCCGTTAATAACTCCCTCTCTCCTTCCTCTAGCTTTTCTTCTTACATATTGTCCCTACAACTTAGCTTATTCCTGCTGCTCAGAAAAGCTACTGAGACATTCTGATGGGAGGAGAATCAAAGCCTCCTGCAGATGTGACCTCCAACAGACACAAGGGTCACCACAGCTGAGGATATTAGGCTCACTGACACAGCACATACCACAGATACTCAAAACCTGTAGTCGAGTGCCTTCAAATGGGAAATCTCTCCCAAATTTAGAGTCAGCTCATTGAGGAGTTGAAAGATTTATCTCTTTACCCCCAAAAGAGTTCTCTCTTTGAGCACAAAGGCTGTGTGTTTTAATGCTCCATGCCTGAATACATGAAAACACAGAGAGGAGGGTCTGGAAGTACACTGCAGCAAGTTGTAAATACTTACGCCTATGTGCGTATGTTTTGTTTTTGCTAGAGCGGGTCTCACAGTTTTCAAAGAGATCTGGGACCACAATAATTTAAAGGACATGTCCTATAGAAGCAAACTAAGTCAGTTATTGGTGTCCTCTAAATTGCCTTTGACATCCACACAATATGACTAGCATCTTCATTAGTATTCCTTATAAATGAAAATAACTTGAAGAATCATGGTGTGAAGATAAAATATTTTAAGCAAGAATATGGTTCCCCACCATATGTGTTGGCTAATACTTTTTAAATTGTACTAGTTTTGAATCACCAGTAACTTTTTGATGACAAATTCTCATTGAAATACTATTTTATTTCAGAGACCCCTTCCTGTCCAGCAGGTAGGTAGTTATTCTAGCCTTAAGTGATTTCCAAAATGACCCCACCCAAGTCTTAAACCCAATGAGAAGCTGAGAATGGACATCTTCAGACTGTTAGTTACCAGTTATGACCACAGGAGTATTTACTGTGCATGTGTGAGTCAGAAAGAAACAAGAGTGATTAGGCCCTAACTCTCCACACCCATTTCAGATTATGATATGCCTCACCTAAATATTTGACCCTCTCACAATCACTAAAACCATGAGACTCAGAAATATTGGAAGGAGAGGGAAAGAGGATATTGGCTAAGACTTCAGTGATGCTAGGAGGAGGTGCATGACCAGGTAGAGAGGATATGGTACATGAGAGGTCTGAGGTCAAGTTCTCACTCTGCTGCTGACTCACTGTGAATTCAGGAAAAACTCACAGATGCTCTGTATTATGTTTTCTCACTGGAAACATAAAAGAGGTATATTGGAGTGTTCTGGTATCAAATGCTATGAATCTAGTCCAATCCAATCCTGTTTTTGTTACACTAATCACAATGTTGTTTGTAGCATAATTTTTCAATAAATATATGAATAGGCAACTCTTCCATTGCTTCATATTTTAACAAGATTTAAAAAAAACAATGCAGTGAGAAAGTCGACTCCATCCTTTTGAAAACAAACTTGCAAGTGCTTCAGTGATCTTTTTGAGTCACAATAAAGAACAAGACACAGTCAAATAGTTTCTAGTATTTGAAGAAATGCATTTTTTTTTTTTTTTTGCAGCATTGGTGTTTGAACTCAGGTCCTCACACTTGCTAGGCAGGCGTTCTACCATTCTGCCAGCTCTATATTTTGCTTTTAATACATTCTTCTCATTATGAAATCTGGTCAAAGTCAAATGGATTAAAATTGATCATTTTTTAAAGTTTAAATTGATCACTTTTAAAAGATGGTCATTTTAATATCTTTCTACATAGAGGGAATGCTGAAGTATTAATGTATCCAAAAATTAATCTTTGGTCCTCATTTTCTATTTATATTTTACTAACTTTTTGTAAATTGCCTTCAAGATTTCCTTTGCTGGAATGCTGAGATATAAGTAAATTAAATAAATACAAATCTTATTATCAGGAAAGACTGGAATTAAAAATTCTTGATTTTAAATTTACAAGGTTTTAATTTCATTATTTTCCCCATATGTTATCCTTTGAAATGTCAACGTAATTGAATTACTGAATTTAATGCAGTTTGTGAAAAGTTAAAGTTAGGTGAGACTCATACAGTAATACATCCTTCCTCTATTTTGTGCACTAATTTTGTGCACAAAGTACTCTCAGGTGCTTCAATTACTTTGTTAATGTGCTTATAATAAATATTTTTGCAGGTATTTCTTGATGCAAATGTCATCAATATTTCTTAGCAATACAAAGATAATTTCAAGGTTTATGCTTTTTATATATTTCTGATACATGTAAATCCCAATGTATGTCATAAGAACTTAAATATTTCAAGTAGTAGAAATGAAGGCTGCAACAGTCACTTTTACTCTGAGACTTTCTCTTTTTTTTTGTGTGTGTGTTACTGGGGCTTGAACTCAGGGCCTTCACTTTGAGCCACTCCACCAGCCTTTTATGTGAAGGGTTTTTCAAGACAGGGTCTCGTGGAACTATTTGCTCTGGCTGGATTCAAACCATGATCCTCCTGATCACTGCCTCTTGAGTAGCTAGGGTTATAGGCCTGAGCCATGGGTGCCCAGCTACTCTGAGACTTTCAAAACTGATACTCTAAACAAGCAGAGGGACAATGTTACTCAAAGACCAAAAGTATTTAAAGCTGACACTCAGTGAGCCATGCATACTATTTCTACTGCAAGTACTCTGGCCGGCTGTGCTCTCTGGAATTCCCATTCCACACTGATCCAATAAAATCTGACTTTACAGATTTTCAACACATACCATAAACCAATCCCTTCTCCTAGGCTGTTCTCCAACTCAATAATGGCAGCCACAATCATTACATTTAGTGACTCAGATTTTCCAAAGGGCCCAAGTCACTCCTGACTAGCATGGCAGGTGTGCGGTGAGTGACATTAGCTATTTCAGGATTCTAGAAAACCATGGAAGTGTAAGGCAACCAAGGTAATGCCCTACTGGCCTGAAAGAGTAAGTGCAGCTTCCACAAATGCCTCACGTACAATCTGTGTTGGAGAGGAGAGAAAGCGACACTCTTTCTTTCTTTTTAATAAATGTGGAGGCTTATAATTGGAGGATTTATTTGAAATATTTATAGATCACCTAAAAGAATATAGTTGTTGTTTCATATTTTTGTCTCATTACAAAAGACTGTGGGATTTTGTGTTAAAAACTAGAAAAAAATAGTCTTTAGGACACTTGAGATTTCTTTCCTTTTTAAAAACTGCCCAGAAATAGCATTAAGAGTCCATATCTAACCCACAAAACCAATAAATACAGAGTTAGAAATGCCACTACATCCACATTTTCCTTCGGCTAGTGTGGCTTTTTCTCTGTTCACAGTTGCATAATTATCTGCTCCCTGGAAAACATCAAGGTCAACCTAAAGTCAAGACTGGCTCTAAGTGAATGTCCTGCCTGTGATAGCTGGCTTTCCTCCAGACTAGACAAATGTGGTTGTCCTATATAAACACATAGGAAAAGACCCATCACATGTCAAGTCACAAATCCACAGCCCTGTGGAATAAGCACTGCAGAGGGCTTGATCATGTGGGTGGGAAATAACGGATGTGCTCTTCAAGTAGAACTTGGAAAACTAAATAAAATAACCAAAACTTTAAAAGTCAGATACACAGAATATTTCCAGATCTAACATTCTCACTTGAGAAATCTATACACTATGAGATTTGGGATCTGGAGATCTAAATTTAAATGCCTCACTGCACTCCAAGTCAAGCCTCTTGGATGAGTTCTCTCTTTAAAAACTTTTGTTAACTTGGGTCAATTCAAAGTCCATGAGATTATTTGCTATGAGGCTGTTGAAATGAAACCAGAGATAATAAAGTGGTTTGTGTAAATGCCTAAGAAAGCTTGATCTTCAGAAACCCTAAACCTCAGCAGCATCTGAAGTCTTATCTAGACTTTTTAAAAAAGAAAAAGTGTCTGTGAGTTACCTAGAGAATTGCTGTTACACAATTCCCCTTCAGTTTGCATTAATTGACCCAAAAAGATTTTCCACAAAGCCTCTTTAAAACCTTTATCCTTCTTGCCCTTCAAGGAAGTCTGTAAGTAAAGTCTGAACTGACTTGCAAACTGGTAGCTTCTTCCCTACCACTGCAACTGGATGTTGGGATTATCACTGCTATACGGCCAATGGATTGTAAATGCAACCATGTGTCCAAAACACTGCATGCAAGGTGGGCCTTGATATGGGACGCTCCAGGCCTAGCCGAACTCACGGACAATACACTGGTTTCCTCCAGGGAGTGTCTTCCATCCGGGACAGCAATAGGAGTGGAACCTGGAGCCGCACACGTTGGGCCTGCAAGGGACAAGCACAGTCACACACACTGTAGGGCTGGGTGCTGCAACACAGAAGTGTTTTTCTAAGCAAAGCCCCCAGCAAGTAGATTTCAGGGCAACAAACAAATCAAAACACTTCAAATTCATGGGGTTTGGGAAGCAGATGTGGAAGTATGTGGGCTAGAAGCAGGAATGGGGGAGGGTCCCAGAGCTCTAAACAGTCCCTTTCATGTGTCCTGCCTTGCTTGCCTTTTTAAAAGGAGAAAGGAAACATGAAAACATATAATTTGCTACTATTCTAGCCTCCGGATGCAGAGAACAAAGGGAACATTGCGTTTCAAAATCCTTGCTCTCCTTCCCAAATCCATTCCTCCTTGATCAACTGTTACTTTGGCCCCAAGTGTCAAAGAAGGCACGTCGAAAGGTGGAGCGCTAGGGCTGATTAGAGAACCAACTGTAAGCCCCGCACACGTCCTCAAACAAAAGGCTGCGGAGCGGCGCCCCCGACGGTGGGGAACAGGCAAAGTCCACTGGCCCCAGCGCAGGCGGACCCAGGCCCACTTTTTGCCTGACATCCGCAATCTTTTCTAGCACCACAAACCTTGCACATGCTCTGTGATCCGCACCTGGGGGTCCCCTGTCCCATTCCCCGCCCAACCCCCGCCCTACGGGCTAAGGTGCGGGATTGCTGAGGAAAAGGGAGAGACACTCCGGGGGTTCTCGGGGTCTTGTAGTCTCTTGGTGAAGGAGCCTGCGTCTGCAGCCACCAGAACCAAAGTTATGAAGGGGATGGGATGGAAAGGAGCCAAGCCGCGGTTCCCCCAAAAAAACCCAGCCACCCCGGGCGCAGGGACGCCTGTCCACCTACCCTCGTAGTATGTCTTGCTGTCCTCGCCTGCGGACGCGGCTAGCTGCTGCGGTGCCCTCCTCCCGGTACTCGGGCGCCACGAACCCGCTTTCGGAACCCGCAGCTGCCTGCCGGACCTGTTGCGGCGGTGGCTGGGTTCGAAGCGGCTTAGGTGCAGGAGGCTGAGGCTGGCCGGCTGCGCCCTGCGCCCAGAGCGCCACGCAGCCTAGCCACAAGAAGTAGGGCTGGACACACAGCGGTCTCCGTCTCCCCATCGCCGGGGCCGAGAGCGCGCGGACGGAAGCCCGCGGAGAGGGAGCGATCAAAGACAAAATCTGCGCGGCCAGAAAAAACTCAGGTACTAACAAGCCTTTCGTCCGCTCCCAGGACTCCCTTGGGCTCCTATTCTGCTATAGCGGGAGCCTAGGACCGATCTCTGGCCCCTGGCTGCGGGAGACGCAGGGCGCGGGGCTCGGACTCTAGCGCAGTGGGCGGCGAGGCGCGGTGGCAATGCAGCCGGCAGCCCCGCGCGGTCCACGTTGCATCCCCCGGGCCACGGCCCCGAGCGACTCCAGGACCGCCAGCGGGTGGGGGCGGGAAATTACAAAAGTAACCCGAGCAGCCGCGGCGTAAAGTTACAAAGAAAGCGGACCTCACAAGGAAGAGGGAAAAAAAGAAAAAAGAAAAAAAAATGGCTTGCACGCAGTGGTTCAGCTGATTCCCGTGCGCTCCGGGCACAGATCTTGGAAAAGTTGCAAAAGTCACCAGAAAGAAGCAGGCAAGCAAACAAAACTTGCCCCCAAAAGAAGAGGAGGTTCTCCTCGGGGCTCGCTTGGAGTCCCACCGGGCAGCGACGGGCGGGCGGCGGCTGCAGAGCCTGGCGGAGGTGCGCGGGGCCGGGGCGAGCAGCGGGCTAGAGGGAGGGCAGGAGGCTGGACGCTGGGGAAGATGCAGCGGAGGAGGGCGCGGCGCGGGGGTTTTAGAGCCCCGGCGGGGCGCGGGGCGGGACGGCGGGCGGCGGCTGTCAGTGGGGGCCGGGGCGCAGCAGTCCACACGTGGAGCGCAGCCGGGACCCAGGGGCCCGAGGCGTAGAGTAGGCGGGGACAGGGTTAGGGGCGATCGGTTGGAGAGGAACGAGGGGAACGAGGGACTGGGGGAGGGGAGGAGTCAGGAAGGGGGGCAGGGCGGAGGAAGGGGAGAGGACCCAGATTGCGGAGAAGGGGGGCGAGCCTGAGAGGAAAGCCGGGGCTGGAAGAAGGACTTGGAAAGAGGGATTGGCGAGCCCGGGTGCGAGAGGAAATGAGGGGGGATGGGGGGAGAGGTTAGGGCGAGGAGAGAAGTGGGAAAGGGGAGGGAAGTGCGGGGGCCGAGAGGAGGGGGCCAGGGGGCCGGCTGGAGGGGGTGAGGCGCTAGGCGGCTTGGCTTCCCGTCCCCCCCAATTGGCGGCTCGCTCTGTTTTGACTGCCTGTACAAAGCGAGCAGACGGCGGGGGAGGGGGCGGTTCGGGATTGGATTTGGGGAAAGAGTTAGAAGCAGCCCCTTCCCCTTCTCCGCCCTCCCGTGTCCCGCGGACCATGGACTGGGGTCTGTGTCCAAGCGCACCGGGCTCGGCGACTCTACAGTTGAACTTCCAAGCAGGACAGAGGCCGAAGGATTGAAGATGAAAACCTGAGAAGTGGTTCTTTTGCGGGGACCAAGAGCTGGAGCTGGACACAGACCCAAGGTGGGGGGATTCGCAGCAAGCCAGGAATAGAGAGGTTCATGCTAGAGTTGACTGCAGCCTCAATTCCAGGAGGCCAGGCCTCCCGTAGTTCTACCACACCGCCCCACAGGGGACGGCGTCAGTCTGCAGGACCGGCAGAGGGGCTGGGTGTTTCCAGCTGCAAGTGCGTCCCCAGCCTCCAAGATCGGCTCACGCGGCCCCAGGGAGCCTAGGCAGTGCTCTGGCGCCGCGGTCCCAGGGAGCTGCAGGGGATCTGCCTCGAGTGACCCTGTCAGGACTCAGCCAGAGTTCGCATCCAGGGAGGGGTTAGAGACCCTGAACTTTTGTTGTTCTTAGAGCTTGGGGTCCCCGCGGCGGCCTGGTGGTAAATGGGGATTGGCTTTAGTTTCTGGCTTGGACTCCAGATTAATGATTAAACCCTGGCTATGCGTGCAACCCTCCTTTAACTTCAGCGTGTCTCTGCGCCCACCTAGTCCTGGCTTTCAGTCAATGGAATTTCATAATTAAGAAAAAGTCAAACGTCTCTGAAAACTAGGAATGACCATTCAAGTACAGTTTGGGAAATGGTAAAGAACAGTGTCTGGATTATTTAAATCTAGAGAGCCATACTTTAACTCTTTCTCTCTCTCTCCCTCTCCTTTCTCTCTCTCTCTCTCTCTCTTTCATATATATATATATATATATACACACACACTCACACACAAACACACTATTTGATAAGTCTCACAAAATTGGCACAGCTCCCTTCTTTTTTTCTTCAATGTAGTCATAGCCATAGCTGGCAGACAAAACTCAGGATAGTAGCCCTTCTTAGAATAGTCTCATAAAGCAGGAGAAAAAGGAGTTACATAATTTCATGGGGGCATCAATTTATTGCAATTAGAGCAGTCAGAGGCATTTTTCCTATACTTTGATTCAAACAAATATTCATTTTAACTAAAAGAGCTAAATAAAAACACCTCTTGGGCTAAAGCATTTTAATTACACAGTTAAAACATACTATGATTTTTCGTTTACTACCTAGTGCTTTATGATTCATCTCTACCTATTACACGAAATCCAAATGTGATAAAATCTCAGGTGCCTATTCCTTTTAACCCAGTAATACCACTTTTAGGAATCTATACAAAAATACTTGGGAAAATATGAAATAATGGATTCTTTAGACTGTTCATTGAAGTACTGTTTGCAATAGCAAGACTAGAAGGATAAACATCTGAACAATGAAGAGCTGACTGAATATGGTTTAATTCATTCTGTGGAATACAATACAATCATAGAAATGAGTGATGGGGACTCTCCCCTCCTATAAGTGATATGTAGCAGTGATAGTTTTTTTTTAAAAGGTGCCAACAGAAAAGGCAGTAGGTTAACAGGACCAGAGGGAGAGGAGAACAGTGAGTTACCTTGCATGGGTAGAAAGTTTCTATTTAGAATAATAACGAGTTCTGGAAATGGATAGTGGTGATAGTTGCACAATGGTGAGAATGTACTTAATGCTACTGAATTGTAGGTACACTTAACAATGGATAAAGTGTAAATTTATGTCGATTTTTACAATAATTTTATAAATGCAAGAGGTAGGATTTTGTATATTGTATAATGCCTTGTTGTGTTATGCATTTGGGGTTATCTTAATAGAAGTATAAACTAAATCCCATAAAAAATGGTTATTACTTAGGGGAAGAGGAGAATGTAAGAGGAATGATGATGGAAGCTAGACCTTTAAAAATATGTCTAGTTTTACAGTTCTAATTTGAAACCATGTATGTAAATAAATGAAACTGTCACTTGATAGTTTAGCCACAAAATGAGCAATTACTTGAAATGTTATTTAAACATATTTGAATTGTACATCTTTAGTAAAGTCTAAGCAGAATGAAATGAAAAAGTTTGAAATTTCATTTGGTGGTAATAATGTGTATAAGAAAGAGAGAAAAAGGGAAAACAAAGCAGAGACCTAGAAATACTGACAGCTCACCAACAATAAACACCCTTTGTGACTAGACTGTGGTCCCTAAATACCATTTGTGGTAAAAGGAATCAGTACTCCTTGGGTAAATGATTGATTCAAGATGTGGACCAGGAAATGTTTAAGGTTAGTCTGTATTATCTTGTTATTACCAAAGTAAGAAAATTACCACTCTACTAGTCCTGTGTCAAAGGAAATCAGAGCTAACTTGAAATAGGTCTTTCAGTGTAAAGATGAAGGAACTTGAGCATCAAGAAGAAAATAATGGCAAATTTGACCAAACACATGAAATGTGAAAATATTTAAGAGTTCCAAACAATACTCCAAATAGTTAATTGATCACTTTTGGAGGTTATAGCTGATTATTTAAAAAGTACTGATAAAATAATAAAACATTCTACTTTTACTGAACAGACTCAGAGAAAATATTTCTTTTGAAAATGATAGAATTGAGGTGGGGGGTTTTTCAAATTTTACTGAAATAGTAGACCCAGAAATAGTTACCGATGAAGGTTAAAACCATGAGGTCAGATGTTCTCAACTGAGGGCCATTTTCTCCCCAGTGGGTATTTGGCAATATCTGTGGACATTTTTTTGATTGTCACAGACAGTGTCAAGTGGGGTTGTGAGAGGTCAAAAGGTGCTGCTAAACATCCTAGAATGCTCAGGGCCATCTCCCATTACAAAGTACTACCTTTACCACTTTCAATATCAATGCACAAACTGCATTTTGTTTGAGCAGCCCTGCACTGAGTGAAAGTTCATGGGAAGCTTTTTAATGAACCATTCAAGCTGTTACCACCAGAACCTATTGAGAAATGAGCCTCTAAAAGTGATGCAACTGCACATTATGTGTATATTTGTGTGGTACAATAGGAGAGATACAAAACCACCATGAATTATTTTAGTCAAAAAATACTGAATCCGGCTGGATATGTTGGTACATGCTTGTAATTCCTAGTATTAGGGAAGGAGAGGCAGGAGGATTGCAAGTTCAAGGCCAGCCTGGACTACACAGTGAGAACCTGTCTATAAATAAATAAGTAAATATATAATTAAAATAAATAAAATTTGATCCTCAGTGTAACCATGCCTCTACATTCAACTCCCAGTTTCCAGGAATTATGGGGCAGGGCCATGAGACGTATATGATATGTCAACAATATAATCAACTACACTTAGAATGTGGGGTACTTAGACTAAGTTTCTTCAATAAATGATAGGAGAAAAGGATAGAGAAGAAAACTGTTTTTGTCCAGCAACCAAAAATAATGTTCGTATCTTCTCTGGGATTTTGACATGAAGAAAATGACATTTTTACAATCAGGAGGAAATTGAAGGCAGTTTATTAGGTAGTAACAATTTATTTTCTATTTTGGGGGGACAGCAATTGTCTCATGGCTATATTTTTAAATAATAAACTTACTAGTATTATACTGACTAAAGATTATATGGATGAAGTATGATGCTTGGGATTTGATTTAAGATAAAGAAAATCAAAGGCTGGGTTCTAAAGAGACGGATCGATAGAATTTTTTTCTAGTCCTCTTGTTAAATACACATAGCTAAACACACTGGAGAAAGAGAAGACCCAATGTGCATAAGAGGATAGGAAATAGTGGTGAGAAGGCAGCCTGGCATGTGGCCTCAGGACCTGAGGGTGACTTAGAGGTGGTCACCTCCTCATGTAT